TATGAGCAAATTATTATCATAAAATCTCAAAATCTGATTGACTGGCCCATTGCCCCCTTTTGCTGTGGTGGGTCCCACATGTAAATGTTGTGTAGGCTAAATGACTGAGTTCGAAACGGCGAATAATAAAAGTAAAATATACGAATTATTTCGTTGCAGTTATTTTGTTATGTTCTTTGACTATTAGTGATTATCTTTTCATCATACCGGCAAAAAATCAGAAGAAAAAAACTCAAAGTACTAAAAAAAGCTCAAAAAGCAAAAGCAAACATAGATCAGGGCAGACATATAAGCACAAAAAGGACGCTTTTTGACTAGAACTTAATAAGTCATTTCAAATGGATATATTTTTTTTTTCAACGAAGCATAGATTAAGAGGAAATTTTGGTTGACGATCTTATCAGTTATGCACGAATGCGATACAAAATACGAGAAATAGTAATAAAAAGATACCATATATGCCAGATATGCTATATAAAAAAAATAAGGAATATTACAAATTTATATGGGGTGGCCGATCATCCAATAAACGTCTAGTTCCAACGTAACATATATACAATATATGTTTAAGTGGTTACCAAATTATATAAAAACTTTGTAAATAATTATATTGTTAAAATCTTTAAACCCGTCGTTTAATAACGGGTCTAATATCTAATAATGATAAATAAAAATATCTGATCATATAAACAAGCAATAGTGTAAAAGTTTTTATTACCAAAAGGAACTCCACTAAGTTGTTGAAAACTGCTTCAAGTGCTTCTCTTATCTAGATCCATTATCAGAAAATGATGCAAAAAGCCTGCCATGCTGGTTACATTGTTTATACTAGCGATTTTTGTTGCTTTTTATATTTAAATACTCTTGACAGCGTTCAAAAGTTTACGAGCCTCTAACAAAGTTTCTTTGGTTTTATCAATCATTTCTTTACTTTCATTTGATAATATATCCTTGTTTTCATGATATTGTGGTAAATTTTCCTTAAGGTACTTTGTTATAAGTTTAATTGTGTTTTTTTCAGATTCATTATCGGATTCTTTCTTATTATCAATCTTCCCATCAATGTATTCTTTAATATTTCTTACAAGATTCTTGATTACCAATAAATCTCTGCTAATAATCATAATAACTTCTTGACGATTCATTAACTCAACATATTGCACTTCATGAAAATTTTCATTAATTTTTCTTATGTCATCAAACTCATCAAGCACCTTAAGCTCCTTAAGCTCCTTAATAATCTTTCTAATTTCTTGTGAATTCTTCTTGACCATATGTAGTATTTGATGCTCATTAATGTAATGCGAAAAAAATGTGTGTATGTCTTTCTCAATGTAATGTTTAATGACTGATGTAAAAGAAAATATTGAAAGAAATGTGGAAGTTTTATACAGGTAGTAGTTTTGATTCGAAATTAAAACCCCAAACAAAACTCCTGGTAGCAGAGTAATAATAGACATCAAGACAAGGCGAAGGAATGATATAAAGAAAATGCGAAAAGGGAATAAATAGGTATGGTGCTCCAAGTCACTTCTCATCAAAAATTATGTATTTTTTAAAAATCTATAAAATCTTAAGTTTTAAATATTT